TGACTATTTGAAATGAGCGGTGTTTCATTCACTATTGCAATTGTTGTAGATCATTTGTTGCAGCAATAGAGATTTTTCTTGTCTTCTTGATTCCTGATAATCTGTATAGTGTTCAGCTTATATATGTATAAATAAATTGTGTAAAAATAACAAAATATTGTATTTATGGAGCTGAGTTAAAAAAAATAGTCCAATTACTAAAAAGAATGACAGTGGAAATGCATCAAGCAGGCTATGCATGCTTAGTGTCTGGATAAAGCACAATCACACTCTTCCTCATTCCCTGTAAACCATTAGAGCTTCTGTCTTACATAGAATTAATCAGAAGAGAAGCAGGTAGAAGAAACGGGGAAGCAAAACAAGATCTGTTTAACTCTTATTTATTGTAAGCCATCCTGAGATGTTTGTAGGGGACGGAATAGAAAAGCTTTTAATAAACAAACAAACAAACAAACAAACTCTGTGATGGCTAAAATATTGATGGTGTTTGTCTCTTCACTTGCAGCTTTTACGAGAGCTGAAGCACCCTAATGTGATTGCATTACAGAAGGTTTTCCTTTCTCATAGTGACAGAAAGGTGTGGCTGCTGTTTGATTATGCTGAACATGACTTGTGGGTAAGTTCAGAATTACCTGGCTGTTTCACCACATGTGTTTGTCTCTTGCTGGGGGATCTGGAAGCCTGTTCTTTAAATTTTCCCCAAAGTTATGTCTAATTCAGTTCTGTGTAGTGTTGAATGCAGATGAATTCTGTGTAGTGTTGAATCAGATGAATGCAGATTTTGAGACCTATACACTGAAGATAAGTAGAGGTCTCTCGAATTAAAGGGTGAACAGAATAGCAGTTTTGCTCCATCCCCTCCATAACAATTACCAATAATTTTGGTAATTGAGGTATTTTGCTTCCCTTCCAAATCAAATTGTTAAATGTTGATTCCCAATGACACTATTACATCATTGTGCTGGCACATTTATTTATTTATTTATTTATTTATTTATTTATTTATTTATTTAAAGCATTTCTATGCTGCCCCCATCACAACAAAGCCTCGGGGCGGCTCACAAAGCATACATAAATACATAAATAATTTCTGCAAAGCTATGTCAAGGCAGTCATCATTTTTTGAGGACTGGGTTTTTAAGGGAATGTGACACAACATAAGCTCAAATATTTTTCCAGATTGTGGTTATCTCCAAAGGCCAAGGAAGTGTATGTTTGTGTCTTTTGACAGTTCTGTTTGAATAGCAGATCCTGATGGGTTATCAGCATCAATTTTATTATATTTTAAACCTACCCAATGAACAAATCAGGCAAAGCATAGGAAAACTTTGGGTAATCCCATAATTTTCTTTTGTATGGCAAATCAGAGCTCTTGTGGAAGAGAAGTTGAAGTATATGGGAAAGGAACCCATAAGCACCATGTGTGTGATCAAGTCTGAGGAGAACCAGCAGCTGCTCTTAAGAAAAAATAGAAAAGTTAGGAGACCTTACCACAAATCTCTTATGTCTCATTTCTTCTTTCAAAAAGTGCTTTAGAGATCCTTAATTTCAAAAATCCTGTGCAAATGAAAGAGAGGCTTAAACAAGAGCTTGTTCAGGTACTGATTACATATTGGGGTTTTATATGTGCAGTCATTTTATGCGCTGAATCCTCATATGTAATATGAAAACCTAGTATTTGTCCTTCAGCAGCTTGTTTTGATCTGTTTTTCCTGTGGAAATATTCCTGTTACTGAAGCTATATGGAATTAGGATTGCACTAACAGAAAAGATAGGTTTGCCTATGACAAATTGGTGCATTGCTCACAGTAGTGATGAAACTGTGTTACGAAACGCAGGAATAGTAGTTTACTGCCAAGAAAAATACATGTACGCAGACAAACACATACAATGCAGTGTTCAAAGCAAAGAAAAACTTGGATCAAAATGATATAAAATCATGAGATTCATGCTGCTGCATGCATCATATAATTAGATAACTTGTCCTTACAGATTTATTAATATATGCTCACTCGCTTTTGAAGTTTTCCCCATCAAAGTTAATTACACAAGGCATGCGTGTACAGTCCTTAGTTGAAAACTGTTAAAGGCTCATTACAAATAATTTCATTTGTTTGCTTTTAAAAACAACCACAAAACAATGTTTTACTGCTAAAACAAGAAGTTTTTAAAATCCAGTTAGAAGTTCTTGCTATTTAAATACTGCTTCTGTCACTTTCTAGTTTCCTTGAACTGATTCATGTACTCATTTAAAGAGACATGGGTATTTTGTGCAGTTGTGACAAATTAAGAGACACTTGACTTTTACCTGCAGTACTTAAGGGAGCCATTTCAACATAGTATGAGCCCATGCTGTTTCAGTAATAAGTATAACACAAGCCATATGTGATCTGCTGTGAGTGTATCAAGCTTAGTCCAGGAGCAGACTTGGGAGTAAATGTTTAGCCAAGATAGAAGGCAAGGAAAGACCAAAAGCAATTGGGGCTCAACTCCAGTGTAGCAGTGGACTCTAGATTAAGATCAGAATCTGATTAGAACTTGTCCAGAGGGTTTTGGTAACCAGTTCAGTAGTGAGAAGCCCATGGCCTAAATATTTGGCTTTTCATGTAATGGCAAAAGAACTGGTTTGGGCATAACTGGCTTGTGAAGTGGCAGAATTAATATGAGCTTATTTCTGGCAGTTTTCTCAAAAGAAAGTGTGTAGAGAGTCTATCTCCTGTCTAAATGCTATTGGTTTTCCTTGAAGGTCATGCCTGACTTAATTAACAGCCTCTCCATGAGAAACTAGCAGAAAGGACACGTTGTCACATAGGCGGATTTATCAACTTAAAATGGAATAGAAGCACCCTGTTTTGCATAAGTTTTTTTTATGAGATAAAGATCCCTTGCCTTACCCTTTTTTCAACCACTTGACCAGGGTGGCAGCATTTTCTGGGAATATTGTATTTAAGGTTCATCTTTTATTGTCTGCTATATACTGCATTTATCTCTTATTCTTTGGTACTTCCCTCCCTCTGAACTGCAAGGAACACTTTTTACTGAGACTTTAATCTGAATTGCCTGTTTGATCTGAAAATCGTTAAGAACCTGTCATGGGAGGTGCTGTTATATTTTGGAGTATATATTTCCTTTTTCGATCGGCCAGATGGTCTGCTGGCTTAGACTGACTGTGCGTCTTGGATTTTTCTAGCTTTGGCACAGGTAGCATAAACATATCAAAGTAGAAGCTGTTGTTGTGGAAATTGCTTCAATGTGGGTTTACTTTGGATTTGCTCTTGAACCTAGGGTTTGACAGGCTTTGACCCATGTAGCATGGAGGTACCCATGTATCTTTTAAGGTTAGACTAAATCACTGTGTGTGTAAATTTATTTAAGTCTTTTTCTAGAGCCTTTGTTAGTCATTGCCTGGAATTGTGTACTCCAAGATACATTCAAGCGCCTTGCCTTATATCTTGAACCATAGTGTTTGCAACTTGGAAATCAAGTTGTAGTATTCTCTGACATGTTGTAGTTATTAGTTTTGACTGTTGTTTGAACATTGAACTTTTAAACATTAAGCCTGTAGCTAATCCTATCAGATGCATGATTTCTGGGGAGCTGCAGCCATTAAGCTTTGGCTGTGAGAGCTAAGCAACTCATCTATGAAATCTGATTAGCTACCAGTAAAAAGTTCTCATTATTTCTGGTGTTTTGTGTTACTTTGTTTGTGCCAAAAGATGGGTGCAGTAGGAAGCACAATATTATCAATCATGAAGAAGGGCAGTCCACAAGCAGAGCCAAATCAAGCACAAGTAAATAGTCCAAATCAAGCACAATCCAAGGAACAGTTTCTTATCAGGAATCCACAAGTTAGCCATACAACAGATCAATCTGAACAAGCAGCAGGTTAGGAAAACTAGGTTACAACAAACTGGGAGTTGGGATGGCTGCTGGAACAACAGCTTTATTTCATTTTCTTCTACTCCTTCTAGTACTAGAAATATTTCCAGCTTCGAAGTGCACTTGTTGACTCTGGGCCAGTCACAGACTCTCAGCACAACCTACCTCATAGGGTTATGGTGAGGTTAAAATGAGGGTTTGTAACACATCTTGGATTCCTCAGTGGAGGAAGAAGGGCGAGATATAAATGCAGTGTAATAATAATCACAAGCATAATCTTAATAAATTAATGGTGGATCATGCCAAAAAGAACCCTATTGGAAGAAAATGGGAGAAAACATACAACTTAATCTTAAAAGCTCGCATAGGTGCCTGTAACTTTAACACATCCATATAGCATGTTGAGGTATGCACCTCTAAGACCTTTAATTTCAAGAATAGGTCTCAAAGCAAACCTGCAACATTTACCCTCTGAAGCTTTTTAAAAAGAAAGCCCCATTCAGTAATAAAAAAGCAGGAAGATGGTTCATAAGCCTCAGAGAAAGTGGAATCAGATCACCAGAAAACAAATACTTTGCTATGTAAAGCACAGTGTACGCTCAAGATCTAGGTCACAGCAACCTGCTATATCCAGTCACGTTAATTGAAAATCTCAAAATCATCCACAGCAGACAGTTCTCCCTGCTTAAGACTGAGGTTTTAAAGTGAAGCTTTTGGCTCCCTTACCCACAGGACTCAGTTTCAGGAGATCAGAGGCCTCTAGAAGTAGCCTTTCTGATGAAGGCCCTAACTATGAGATACCCTTTACTCATGAGGAACTTTCATTTCAATGCAACCACTCTTCTTTAAAGGGGTTGTTGTGGTCTGCCTCTTGGAATACAACAGCCTCTGGAAGCTAGGGGGTCATCCAGCTTCCGTCTCAGAGATAGTGTTCCCAAGCCATAATTGATGGTGTGAATGGTGTTCTTGATTGCTGTTTTTGTGGGAAGTAGCCGCATTACCGGTCCTGCCTACTTTGCCTGGGCAGGTGTGGGTGGATAGGTTTCTGAAATAGTGACAGGCTGCTGTACAAGAAGAGATTCTGTGCAATTGAATAAATAGAATTTGTTCCCAAATTGACATTGTTCCCCTTCCTGGCAATTGTCCCAGCTCCTCCACTTTCATTTGGAGAGCCTTTCTTCCTTGCTTTGTACAGCTAATAATCTAGATTCTAGAATCTAGCCATAATCTGAGAAATGTGTTATGTTAGTAGTACTGTTATATATTTCATTTCTGTATTACTCAATAGCCAAGGTTTTCTGGGCAGTGAACATAGATATCCTTGTAATAGAGCTCTTTATCTTTTTAGGACATAGTATCAAATATTGGAATGTGTATAAGTGCAGTTTGCTCTTGTTCAGCAATTAGTAGGTATACAGTTCTAGCAATGTTCTGGAATACATGACATTATTTTTGGCCAGTGAAGGTCATAAAAAGCAAAATTAAATATTAAAAGAAGTTTGCTCTGATCACAGCTCTAGATTTCATGCCATCTATTTTGAATCCAAGTATTGAATAATATTAGCTTCATTTGTTTATGTCTGAAAATATGGTGATGATCAGAACATTATCCTTGTTTTGAATAACTGTCCCTCCTTACATATCCTAACCTTCCCTCCATATTTAAACAATATGTTCTTGCTCTAGATGTCCTTGGGTCAGCTAGTTAATTCATAAAAACAGAAAATAATTAGGCACTACTGAATGCAATTAATATAACCAAAAGTTGTTCCCTAAAGCAGCAGTCCCCAACCCTTTTGGTACCAGGGACTGGTTTCATGGAAGACAGGTTTTCCATGGACCAGGGGAGGGGTTGGTTTTGGGATGAATGGTGCCTCATGCTTTGAACTTAATTTATTTCAGGAGGCTGTTTGAACTCTGAATCTTTTGAACTCCAAAGCAGTGTTCCCCACTAGAAATAATGGAACGTGAACTAATCTGTTCCCAGACCCCAAATAATATCCATCTCAATAAACATAAACAGTAAATATGCATAATTTAAGGTAAAAATAACACAATTAAATGCCAAATTGATTAATTAAAACTTGAAAACAATTCATAAAATATGTTATAGTTTGAGCTTTGAAGAGATTTTATCTTGACTCTCACATTCAAACTCTGGATCTCACCCACTGCTCATCTCCTGCTGTGCGGCCCAGTTCCTAACAGGCCACAGGCTGGTACTGGTCCACAGCCCAGGGGTTGGGGACCCCTGCTCGAAAGGTTGATGATGGAAGAAGTTTCTAGTTGTTAAATTGTGGGGAAGAAGCTAGAGTTCATTGGCTGGAAATATTAATTTGATTTCTTTTGCATGCAAAGCTAAAAAAGCCCAAGAGAAGTTAACCAAATGCATTTAAACCCTCTTTGGGAAGGAGGGTCATATAGCAGGACAAAGTACAGACATCAGGACCTTTTAAACACCATCACACTGAAGAAACCAATCCTTCTGGATGCTACCAGTGTTACTGTTGCAGAGGTTCCAACCTTGATGAAATCTAATACTCTAACTGAGCACTCAGAGGGATAGACATTGTTTTGGACTTACAGCACTGGCCAATCACAGTGGCGTATCACTTGCAGCAAGGGCCTCATCTTAGCAGACCTGTTTAGCAGATCCAACTACATACCACACAAGTGACAGCTTTGTCTGGAGATTCAGCAGTCTCTCTTTTGGACATGAGGCCTGCCAATCCTGTTGGCAATGCCAGTAAACGAAGCTTGAGCTTGGTTTTACCACAGAGGAGAAATAGGATAGGATTCATTTGGCAATGTTTTCCTATTCAATTGGACGCAGGGCTTTTCTATCTTTTCTTATCCTTTCCGTTGCTGATATAGAAGGACAACATGAACTATGTTTTAACAACTCCATGATGGCTGAGCCAAACAGTTTACCTCATGACTTCTTGCATCCTTTCTCTAGCATAAATTTTCCTCTCTCTTTTGATTTCAGGTTTAATATTGCTCTGCATTATATTAAATATCACATTATAGCATTATTACATTTATTGTTCATTGGCCTGATAGCTTGACAAAGTGTGGTTTATTATCCAGGTAGACAGATAAACTGTCACTTATGAATATTAACTATGGTAATTGTACAACCATCTTATTTGCAATTTGCAATGAGCCCATGAAGTTAGGGAAGCTGGCTTGAATAGTGCAGATGTAACTCTTGCTATAGCCAAAGACTGACATGATGTAAGATGTGATGGAGATCTGGCTTTGCTGCTGTACTGCCAACATTGGGAAATGATGTGGTGGGAATGGCAAAACTGACTGTGGTGGTAGGTCTGCATGCATGTTGCCAGCCATGTATTGCCTTCCCATGATGCAGGAAAGCACTACAAAATATGCAAATTTATCACCTTTTAACAACATATTTCAGTTGTAAACTCTTAAATTCTTCAATAAAGACATCCAGAGTTTATGACTGTTTAGTAAAAATGTGATGCTCATTGCTATGAAATTGCATTACAACCTTCCCCAGCCTCATGCCTTACAGACACGCTTGGCCTGCAACACCTAGAATTCCCAGTCAGTGTCCCTTCTGGATAGCAGTTCTGGGAGTTGTAGTCCAAATGCCTCTGAAGGCTACCATATTGGGGAAGGCTGCTTTAGAGCAATGAAGTAATTGCCTAAGAACTGGAAAGGGCCTGTGAAGAACATTCTACAAATCAAAGCCATTTCAGTCTCCTAAGTTTCAAAGCCAGGTATGTTGAAAGATCATGTTGCATTTTCTTAAGTATTAGGTATAGAAACATGCCAAAGGGTAAGTAATTGCTTACCATTTTAGATTTTAAAATGGGTGGTGCAGTCTAATGCAGCTACCCCAAACCCTCTGAACTCAGAGGATTATAGGCACTCTGTTGAGAGTGGGAGAAGCACAGAGGCATAGATCATCTCTGTGCTTGTCCCACCATGTGAAACACTTAGATAGCTAATTTTAACAATTAGCTAAAACTAATGATGTGCTACCATGATGCATTGCAGAGCTCCCCCCTCCCTAATGCCCTCAGAATGACTACCAAATGTCAGCTCCGAGTTGATTGTTCCAACTTCGGAGCTGTAGCTGGCATGGAGTGGACCAGACTGGCTACAGGGGTGGAGACAAGACACTCCAAGATCAGAGACTCACCTCCTACTTCAGAGCACAGTTTCAAGGTTGTAACAGAGATTCTGACCTATCATATCAGCAGGATTGTTTCCGTAAAGATTTTTACTGTTTCAGTAAAAACTGTGTTTACTGTGTTGCTATATGAGAATTTATTTTGACATGTTACTTTCATATTCGTGTTCTTTTTATTTCCAGCATATTATCAAGTTCCATCGTGCCTCAAAAGCAAACAAAAAGCCCATGCAGTTGCCGAGATCTATGGTCAAGTCACTACTTTATCAGATTCTTGATGGAATCCATTATCTCCATGCAAACTGGGTGCTTCACAGAGACTTAGTAAGTACTTTGAATTTTGGATTATATGTTTGCCTGTTAGGGAAGGAGAATACAAATGGAAAATATTAATCTTTTCTATCACGGTGCTTCTTCCTGTAGTTGCCAAATACTATTGGTGGTTTTAAAGACAAAAGTAAAATTTATGTTTTCATTGGTTTTTAAATGCAGCATCTGCTGCAAATCATTAATGCTGCATCCAGTAAACAATTATGGATATCAGTATAAATAGTCAAGGAACACGTTACACTGAACGTAGCTGTTAGGACTGTGTATTGTGCTTTTGTGTCACTGTAAAATTCACTTTTATACTATTCATATTTCCTTCTAACTGTGGAAATAATTTCTTAGGCTCAAGTAACTGGCATTACAATTCAGTCATCAGCTTCAATGACCTCTGAATATAGTATGAAAAACGGTTTAGAGAAACTACCTAAGAAAGTACAACAAGATATACTAAGAAGTATAGCAAGATATTTCGTAAAAGATGACAGATCACTTTTGTAATATATTTTCTTTTCTTTTCATTTTTGTATACTGCCCATTCCCATAGGCGCTGGGTGGCCATCACTATATTAATAGTAATGTTTCTGTCAGTAAAAAGAGGGTAAAAAGATCAACACAAATGAGGGATGTTTTTTATTCTTTTTGTGGATCTGTACTTGCTTATCTGCTGTATAACTTGGTGTAGCTTTATTTCCATTATTTTTTCTAGATTATTATATCATTAATTGAGTGTGCAGATTTTTAACTTATTTCTCTGGATAGCGGTAGGAAAGTCATTACAAATCCCAAGTTGGTATTGCCTAATTACTCTCTCTCGCACAGAGAAATATTAATTAAAATGCACAATTGAAATGCAGTAAAGCACATTGATCCTCCAGTGCTTATTCATAATTGCTGAAAAGAAATGTCTTAGTATGCAGTCTGTGTCCAATGGCTTAAATCAGTGAAATTCTACGAGTGCAAAAGAACTTGCTGTTATCTCCTTGCAGCCTTCTGTGCTACCTAGTATTTGTTTGTTCCAAAGGGTTGTCCACCCCTCTGTAGCAGATTTTGAGAACACATGAGAGAGAGAGAGCTTCCTTCCAAATTCTTCTGACAAAACTGCTTGCATCAGTGGAATGACAATGTTGGATCCAATCTAGTGTGTTTGTATTTTTGAGATAAAACTGTTGAATCACTTAAGCCATTTCAAATCAGAATTTGTGAACAACTTTGTGTTCTGTAAGGTTGTCTGGTTGATGTCTCCTCAGTGGGGGAACTAAGGGAGACAGATCCTCTTCTCCCATTAGTTTGGTACTTCTCTTGACCTTTTGGAATATGGTATTTACCGGATTTGAGAAAGATATTTCCTTCAGCTGATGGGAGAGGACATATAAACAGCTCAAAACAGTTTGAATTTTTAGAGATAGGGAGAACTCTGAGTTGACAGAAGCATGCTTGGAGTTATATAGTCTTATTTGGAAACCTGAAACAGAAATAAAAGCTTTGCCACCTGCTGTAAATGCCACCTGCATTTGCTTCTGAATCTTTTCTGTTTTTGTATTTGTCAGTAAAACCAATACTGTACATTGACAGTGTCCTCATGTCCAAATGAATTAAACCTGAGTGTCATCCCAGGAGTTTTCTGTTACTTGGGAGAAGTGAGGGATATTCTGTATCTGTTTCTGTATTTTTGGTGTAAATTCTAAAACAGCTTCCTTATTAATTAGCCTAAAAGTTTAATATTTCCTCAGTTGTTCACCTAGTTTTATTTATGTACATATTTTATATAGCTGTCCCTTAACACAGTTTTCATGGTTCTTCACAAAATAAACTAAGCCTACAATCTTATGCATATTTATTTGGATTCAGTTCCTGTTTTGATTTAGTTACCTTTGTTGCAAGTTACTCATAGGGATCTATGATATGATGAACACTTTAGAAGTCAAATTACAAGAAAGGCTGATTTTGAGGAGAAAGCTTGAAACGGGGGTAGGAGAATATTTTGATAGTTTTACATATTTAAAAGGCTTACAGGGCAACAAGCAGAGGCTAAGGTTAAGAATGCTTTTTCTGATATGACACTTGCATTGGAAAACCTCTGAAGTGGTCTTTGCTTTTCGGCTTTAAAGCAATGTTTTATAAATAATTTTAATATAGGACAGAATGAAAAACTAGCATGTTATAGTACAACGTTTTCAAACAACTGCTTCTACTTCACGTGTCTTTATTATAGTTGCACAACCATTAGTTTATGACTTTAAGTGGTGTTGAGTAAGACGGATTTCTCAATGGAAGTTTCTCATTGACTCACTGTCATGGACATTTAATTTAACTGACAGATATGTGTTTTTGTGCTTTGGGGATGGAAAGAGTGCATCTCCCCAAAGAAAGAAAAGCATCATTACAATTTATTGAATGTTGGGGCAGTCCTACAGAAAGGAGATACAGGACTTTTAACAAGTTCTTTGCCTTTTCTTATGAAGAGCTACCTGAGCACTTAGTAGTACTCCTAAGTTGATTTATGTGTGAGAGAATGGTCTTGTGTTATGCCAACAGCACTATCCAAAATCACCTGTGACTGCTGCACTGTCATGTTACAAGAACTTTACATGATGATGCTAGTGGATGGAGCACATGGTACCTGGTACCAATTGCAAGGAATATATTTATATCTTCTGCAGTTGGACAGTTAATAGCACACAATCATTTCTCAGAAACTCAACTATATCTACTAGTCCTTGCCCTCTATGAAAATGGAATTTTTTCATCATTGTTAATGTTTGTTAGTGTGCAGGCAATTGAGTATAAATCATTTGTGGGTATAAGCTTCACATCTGTAACTCAATGTGGTGCTGACATAAACATGATATAAATGAAACTGAGTTTTAACCAGTTATAATAATTAGCTGTCTGATTTCTTTGTTGATACGTTGCTGGAATGCTTGGTCTTTGCCTGCCTGTCAGCTTCCGAATGAGTAGCTGAATGCCACTGCTACTACTTGGCAAACTGAAGCAGCTGTTGTAAAGAAGAAATTCACTGCTGTGTGTTACATTGGTTTCATGGCATTTTACTTCCAACAAAAAGAAAAATCAATTTCACATTGGAAGGGATTATTCCCAGAGAGGACAGAAAAGTACCTTTTTATGGTGATCAGTGGAACAGAATTATAATTCACATAGAATTACAGTATTTGAAGTCTCAAGAGAATTGTTATAATTCTAATAGCCTTCACTTTTTATGAAGAAATTAGAAGATATTCATTCACTATAAAGTCAAAGCAAATGTATTTGTGTTTGCAATTAAAATATGATCGGTGCTTCTGTTTTATGCTTTTCTTAATTTCTACAAGTTATTTTAACTTGGAAAGATGCCTTCATTCCATCAATGGAATAGAACAAGAGTTTGTAAGTCCCTGCCTTTTTAGTTTTTATTGGCTTAGAAATAGTTGGATATAAGAGTCTGACTTATTATCAGCCATAATAGAGAAGAATTTTTTTATCACAAAAACATAACCATGGATTACTTTAGAGCTACAAATGAATGGAAATAATCATTTCCTTTAAGCATAGCCAAAATATTTTTGTTTGTTCTTTCAGTGTTATGTATACTACAGATAATATCAGTATTTCAAATGAAAAAGATTGGTGTCACTGCCTTCCATATATGCCTTCATGGACACTCAGACACCACCCTCCATCTGTTGCTGCCAAATGAGCTGAGACAAGTGGCTACCAAGAAAAGGTCTCTGTCAGAGGTTTCACCTTAGTTGTGAAATGACTTCCCAAGAGAAGCTCTTTTGGCACCTACACTGTAGCCTTTCAGTGCCAGATGAAGACCTTTTTATTTTCCCAGGCATTTTAGCCTTTCAAATTTAAATCCTGTGTTAGTGCATTTTAGATCTTTGCATAGTTGCTGACTTTTATCTTGGTTGCTACTTTGGTTTTTTTCTGTCATACACTTATGGATTTCTATCACTTTATTTTGTGGTTCTAAGTTTTCACATTTGTCTTGGCTAATTGGCAATATAGAAATGTAATAAATTAAAGCTGTATATTGCAGAGTTTTGTTTTGTTTTAATGCAGAAGAGTTCTCAAGACTTCTGATAACATTCTCAGTCCAGACACAAAGTTGACTGAAATTGTTTCCAATTATGTCAAGATGTAAAGTGCTATTTTACGTATGGTGTAATGAACTGTTCTGAACCTATTACACTAAGCATAAATGCATCTGGCAGCAGTTGGTTGCCTTTCCCTGTTTTCAAGCAAATGTCATTGATGCCTGCATCTGGCCTAATTTCTACAGTTAACTATAGCAAGTGGAAATAGTTCTGACTTCATTTGAATCTGTTCTTTTCTATCTTATCAGTCTCTCCCTTCATACTGTTTTTGATCATGATTTTCTAAACCCATGTAAAAGATGTTGGCTTCTTGGCATTTAGTGAACTTGCTGCCTCTGTTAGTTTTATCTTGCCAGTCCTTTGCCAGATGAATTTTATTTTGCCAATCCTGCAGTGCTAGCCCTCAAGGTTACCAATTTGCAAAGTAGATTTGTGCTCGTTTTGACAGTCTGTATCTGCCACTAGACTGTGGACTGCAGCCTAGATTGCTGACAGCTATGCTTTGTAGATTGCTAGCTACCTCCTCTGCCTGCTTTTGAGAGCTTTCTACAGTCTTTAGTTGTCCCGTGGAAGTACTGCTCTATGAAAGACATATTCATGGACAGGTTGTGCATCTTTTGAGGAAACCATGCAATTGAAGGGAGGCAACTCTGGGGAACATTATACGTTAAAACATTCTTTACATACATGAATGAAATACATGAAACATTCTTTGTGGCTAATTTATGTCCCACCTGCTCTAGATATTTCAAATAATTGACGGTTGTGAAAACATATGAGAACAAACTGGATTTCTGTAGTTCACTAGATTTATAAACAAAATGAATATAGTATCATTTTGTTTATTTAACTCAGGAAACAAGTTCTGCAAGGAGATCTTTCTAGTCATAGAGTGCC